GAGTTAGGGAGAAACCTGGTGCTAGGGAAACTCCCAGGAACCCACAAGGATGACCTTAGCTATGACTCCTGGCAATAATGGAGAGGGTCCCTGAACTGGCCTTCTCCTGTAATCAGATTGATGACTACCCTAATTGTCATCATAGAACCTTCATCCAATCACTGATGGAAGCAGATGCAGAGATCCACAGCTAAGCACTGGGCCGAACTCCAGGAGTCCAGTCGAAGACAGGGAGGAGGGATCACAGGAGCAAGGAAGAGGGGTTTAAGATCATGATGGGGAAAGCCACAGAGACAGCTGACCTGAGCTAGTGGAAACTCATGGACTCTGGACTGACAGCTGGGGAACATGCATGGGACAGAATTAGGCCCTCTGAATGTGGGTGACAGTTGTGTGGCTTGATCTGTTTGGGGGCTCCTGGCAGTGGGATAGGACTTATCCCTGGTGCATGAACTGGCCTTTGTTGAAGCCCATTCCCTACGGTGGGACACCTTGCTCAGCCTTGATGCAGGGGAGAAGGGCTTGGACCTGCCTCAACTTGGTATGCCAGACTTTTTTGCTTTCTAATACACAAACTTGGGGTGTATATTGGAGACTTACTTATTTTATTTCTATTTTATCCACTGTTTTTACTGAAATGGCACTGTATGTTTTTATCACATGAGTTAATATAGTGAAATATACATTATGGAATGTTAAATGTAGCTTAAACAATATGTTGCTTCATTATTATTATTATTATTATTATTATTATTATTATTATTGTTATTATTTTTTGGTGACCATGTAACTTTCGCATTTTACATTATTCAAGAATCTTTAACAATGCCAATTTGCTGTACAAACTGTTTCTTGAGATTTGTTCCTCTTATTTGATAGTTCCATATCCCTGAGAGAATACATTATTTTTCTGTGTAATAAATAGCACAATTATGCCACCATAACTGAAGTTTTCACTGAGAAAATGACAATACACACACACACACACACACACACACACACACACACACACACACACACGACTGACTATAGAAAGTGGTGTTTGGATATATGAAGAGAAATAATTAATGATCTTAAAATGAAAAATTTAGGAGAGATCAGATATATAGTGGAAGACCTGGACTGTGAAATACCCCAAATTTCATAGTTTTAATAAGATAAAGAAAGAAGTGTGTTTAATAATGGAGAGGGTCCCTGAACTGGCCTTGAATTTTTTCAAGTGAAAAAATTTCCAAAATGTATGAAGAATTGTTTCATGTATGCACAATTATGAGGTTAATTACAGCTCATTTTCACATACTTTGGAAAGTATGCAGAGAAGTGTGCAGCACATGAAAACAATGATACACGTATGTTGATTTAAAATTTAAAATTTAACGAGGGAAGTCAGAAAACAGTGCAATGGCATAGTTTGAAAGACAAAACTATCAACCTAGAACTCCGTACTGAAATATCTTTCAGGAATAAAAGAACAGACACTTTGAGACAAATGGAAACTCAATAAGCCATCACTAGCGATCTGGAGAAATAACAAAGCTGAGAAGTAACCCTACCTGGCTTTATGCTTTCCTGTACAACTACGGTCATCAAGACAGGGAAACACCGACAGAACCTCACAGATGAGTCAGTGCAACAACTGGAAGATACCATTAAGCCGATCGACAGGTAAGTCACAAGCTGAGACAGTGTGTGTGAAGCAGCAGGCGGCCACAGACCTTACCTAGGATGTCTAGAGAACTCTTACAGACCGTTACCACCTTCTCCCTTCGCATATAACTCCCCACCAGTGAACATCCATTAGAAGGGGTCGAGTAAAGCAGTGACAAGAGCAGACAGAGATGGGGCAGGGGACAGAGGACCTGAAGGGTGGGGAAAGGGATGACCAGATGGACAGAACAGTGTTGGCACAGTAAAATGTCAACTGTATTGACAGACTGGCAAGTGCATGCCAACCAAGATTGTGGCTATAGTGTTCACGCTAGAATTCTCTTAACTTCTCCTTGTATAAAAGAAAAATATCAGTATCTTGTTTATGCACACTGTTGGAACACAGTCCAAGAATGGAGGTGTATGAGTGGATTGCTGAGTGCTTGTAAGAAAACTCCAAGAAACCGAGATGAGAGTCTTGTGACCTCTGTTTCTTTAAAAACATGGAATTGTTCTTAGATTGTGCTTTCATGCCCCTCCCAGGTGTAGTGGATAGGAGTGAGCTCACTTCAGATTATTCATTACAACTGGCTATTGTTTGTTTATATGCCTCTATGGAAAAACATGGTTTGCCGTGTGTGGTTTGCCCACCACATGTGGCTTGCCCTTGTGATTTTGATACTTTGCTCATGTGACTCCTCTTAACTCTCAGATATAAATTGTCTGATGCTTTGAATAAAGTTGGCTATTGCATGAGACTAGTCCGCCTCATTTATTGGCTCCATTCTTGGCCCCCCCACCCCCGCCCTCGCCCTCGCCCCCGGTCCTACTGCCTGGAGAGTGGTAAGCACCACACAAAAGTTGTTTCAAGTCTGACTTGGTGTCATTGACTGTGGGGACACACAAGCTGGCTGCTTCTTAAGCTTTGAGCGGTGAGAAACACACACACACACACACACACAAAACCCCCCAAACCCAAAATATTTCTCTCCACTTTCTATCAAAAAAGAAAGAAAGGAAGGAAGGAAAAAACCCAAACACAAAACCAAACAACAACAACCACGAAAACCACCAACCTTTTTCCTCTTCCTCTGCTTGCTTTTAGTCGAGTCTTGTCCTGCACTCCCATTCCCCAGGGAGCCGGATGTGGCTCTCCCGGAATGCTGGGATCCAGAAGAGGGCGCTGTTGGTGTAGGAGGCGGTGTGTTCTCAGGAGAGTCTGGGCAGGACTTCAAACAGGACCCCTGCACAGAGACACCGGCTTTGAGATGAACCGACCAGACCTCCCGGCAATAGATTATCTTTACTGCCTTTTGTGTTTAATACCATTTATGCTTAAAATGGATTCTTATCGATTTCATAGAAATGGATGTCTTTTCCCTAAAGTTCTAGTCATGACAATTTTTATCTAATCATTTAGACAAAAATCAAAATTCTATATCCACTGCTTCTAACAAAATCTGTTACCTTTGTTGGATACCATGGAATTTTTGATGTATTTTAAATTTACAAGTCTTCAAAGGACTCTGAACTCTCCTCAGACTGGACGGCTGTTAGACATTGTGTATGTCGGTGGCTACCCGCACTTCCCCACAGCTCAGAATCATCACTTTAGGATCACCGAGTCTTCCAGTCTGTTCTAATGCAGTGTCCTCTCTCCTTCCTTAGTATTGCTCTTTTATTTATTTGGACTGCAATCCTGTTATTTATTTCATCTCAAATACTTGAAGAATTATATTCTCAGCATCCTCTTCTCCATGGCTAATTACTCTAACTTCTTGAGGCCAGTTATCACAGACATGCTTTTGAGTTCCTCCACAGCCCCCTTACCTCCTCTTCACACACGCTCATTGGGTGAATGGCATCCTGGAGGATAATGTTAGGAAACAGAGGTTCTTGCACTTGCAGATAAATGGGGAGGGGTACAGGTTTGGCCTGGCCCTACAGATAGCGAAGAGGTCGCCTAGGCTACTAACCACTTCCGTTTCCAGCCATCTGAGAAGAAAACTGGCTGTACATCTCTTCCTTTGAAGAGACAACATTTATGTTCAGCATTCCTGGTTTCCCGAGTGCTGAATGCAAGGACCTCTGTGCTCCCAACAGGATGGTGCTGAAACGCCAGGACAACACATTTTCTTGTCAATAACAATACTGGCTTCTAAGAAATTGACAGGTATTCAAGATATCTAAGTCATTTTCCTAGATAGTTGTACCCACCCTGCCTTCATTCTAGAAATCATACTAACCCTGTGCTCTGTGGATCAAACGTTCTCTATAATATAGTAAAAGAAATGATGTTAGATTTTGCAGGCCCCTTGCTGAAATTCTGGTACTGGTCTCAACAGTACTTCCTCGATCACACTGTCTGGAGAAACCACCAAACAAGAGACAGTAAAGCTAGTTTTGGTTGAGTATTCTTTGCCCCAAATGCTTAGGGTAAGTTTTGTTTCAGATTTCAGATTTTTAAAAAACTATTTTGGAATATCTATACAGCTCCAAGGGATCATGTCCACATGTGTGTAAACCATATGCTGAAAAAAGATCTAGAAAATGTAGCTATTACCATCGCTATTACATTTGCTAGTCTCGTGTCAGGAACCCAAGCTTAACCAGATTGGTTCCTTATGTGGCTAGTGTTTAAGGATGATGCCCCCTCAGATAAGACAAACCCAATCAACCTGGTGACTGATTATAACACATTGGCACTGATGTCAGGATCTTCTAAAACATCTCCGAATTCATCATCCTTCAGCTAAGATCCTGCTAGTCTGATAACTTGCAGTAGTCTGGAACACTATACAACCCCAGGCTTTACATTCTTTTTTAAATGCAACTTCCTATTAGTTCTCTTTAATGAGGTTTTAGTTTCAATAGTTATCCACTTCCACCCTTGTACAATTGTTCTTTTGCTGCCTCTGAGGTCCAGAATGTTCTTTCTCTCCAGTTTCCATACTTTCAACACTTTGCTGTCCACATGCATGCACACATGAGATTTAGTTTAATTCTCTAGGTGGTTCATTTGGAAGTCAGTATGATACACTAACTTGGCTTCTGTGCTTGTTTACGTTATTTGCTTGTTTGTTTTACAAATCCTGCAGTCTCCCTGAACCGGGCACTATCATTCTCCAGATGCCTCTCTGGCCCATATTTGGCACACTCCTTCATGCTGGCTGCTGATTTGCAAGGCTGATGAGTGAGAATTCTGCCTTAGCATGTGTTTTATCAGATAATGAAGGGCAGGAAGGGAGACAGTCTTTATGAATGTCTACTTTGACTACCAGACACAGGGGAGAGTAGGTGGAGCCAGGCCAGGAAAAAGCTTCAAGCTGACACTGACAGTCTCTCAGGATGCTCTCTGAGACTTCGGCTTCCACCTCCCAGAGAGCCCAGGAAACCCAGTACACATAGGACATTTTTTTGAACTGCTCTTCAGCTGGGAAAAGCGCCTGTGGTTATTGAGTAGTTGCCCAGGGCGGCTCGGCCACCCTGGAGAACCAAGAAAGAGGGATGGGGATGTTGGGGGTGTTTTCTGAGACTTGCAAGCAATCACTTGAATGCTAAGGAAAAACTAGGTTGTTATGTTCACAGTAAATTTCCTCAATTAGAAATGTTACAACAAATTTGTCTGATGTTAATGGAAAGCACACCATACACATACTCATAAAGCATCAAAGACATTGCAAAGGGTACTCTTTGACATCATAATTGGGGTTTGAAACATAAAGAAAATAAAGAGTGTTTAATCAACTAAGTAAGCTTTAGGAACTTTTAAAGCATGGTGACTGATAATGATGTATGACCTTTTTAATGGGCATAAACATTTCAATCCCTACTTGGATTTCAAGCCAATCTGATTCTCCAAGGGCTATGAAGAAAAGTTGAGTTGACTTCTGGCTTGTTACTAAGATGCTACATGAGCAGATATCACGGTATATGTTCTACCCATTGTTGGGAAAATATGTAACATGGGGTCGGTCCATGGTGAGTCCACAGACTAATACAATGGCTTTAGGTGCTCTCTGAACAACCCAAATTACCCTAAAAAATGTGTACCTGGAATGGGATTTATAGTTTTTCTCAAAAACTATACCATCCTCATCCAGATAGTAACAGGAAGTAGATGTGTGTTATTAAGTGGGCTTTGCCGTGTTCAGGTTATGCATTTCAGCCAGCTTGATCTAAACTCACTTTATAAGTACAGAATCAGATGTGAACCTAATCTGTCCTCATTCCTCTCTATGGTTATTAGAGTGAACGATATGATACTGCTGTTTTTGTTATTAAGAAACTCTAATACTGGCAAATGTATTCAACATGTTCTGTTTCATTTCTGGTTTTCAGGCACATTGTGCTAGCAGAGAAGATTTTAGAAACTGAAGTGGTGCACCGTTATGCAAAAGGTCACACATGCGGAGGCTTCCCAGCTCCTACAGAAGAGGTCCTAGCAGCACAAACTGAGGATAAATGGAGCCAGGCCAATATAAATTATTGTTGACATAAATCAGTAAATGAAATGGAAGGCTATGAATAAATGGTAGGAATTATTACATGATAATAATTCCCCCTCCAGCTCACTCCAGGGTCTCTTGATTTCTTGCATGCTAAGCAAAAATTGTACCATTGACCTCAACTCTCATCATTTGAGCTACAAAGAAATAGTTTTCTCCATCATCATGTAATGATATAGACCAGTTATTCACTTCACAAATCTCAAAGTGGGACAGGTTCTACAATCAGTTGTCTGTCACGGAAGGGCTAGGAAAGACAAGTATTCTTTAAAAAGAATTCTTTTTTAATTTATTAAATTTAATTATTTAATTTAACTTATTCTTTAAAGAAAAACAGTATTCTTTAAAAATCAAAATGGGGCCAAAGGGTGAAAAAGTCCTAACAACAAGGAGGTCCTCTGGGCTTGGCATAACAAATGGTCAATTAGTATTTGTGCAAATGGGCAGTGTATTAAGATTTTCTAAGCAAAGGCTACACACATTATTTCCCAAAGGAAAACTAACGGAGACAGGCAACAAATACACAGATGTGTTCCCCCGACTCTCTGCTACTCACCTCAGCAGAGCTGTGGTACTGAATGAAGGTTGCGGAGATGGCATGGCTGAAGGGATCCCCTGCCTTGGATACCATATCCTGCCTCACGAGAAGAGCCAGGTCCACTAACTGAAGAACAGAGCAACAAATAGGAAGTGACACAGCTGGAAAGAACCATTAATGCCACAGAAGAGGCAACCAGCAACACATTCAGAACGTGTTGATGATTACCGATATTAATACAGCCATCCATTTTGGACATGGCGCACAGCCTCTCAATGACTGGTGACTGGACCAATTCACAATCACAAATTACATGTTTGATTTTCTAACTTCATTTTGTTATCAACAAGGGAACCTTTTAAATAGTCATTTCTGGACTATCAGCCCTGGGACTCCAGGCTAGTCTAGGAGTTTCCATTCCCAAAACAGGCTAACAAGAGGCTGATCCTGTGGCTTGGACACCATACCCAGGGGACCACACCTGGAATGCCATGATCCTACACCCACATATCTCCAGAGATAAAATAGTCACAGACTTTGACAGTCACTTGTTTCAAAGATGAGAAACAAGCTCTTAAATAAGTCTGTGGAGGATGTAAGACTTCAACACTGAGAAAAATTGGGCATTCCATATACAGTTAGGATAAAGTTAAAGGAACAGACATTTTAAGTACATTTTTTTTTTGTTAACTCATCAAGAATTTCGTACATGCCAACAATGTATTTAGCTCATATTCACTCCCAACTCTCCTAATTCCTCCCAGATCTACCCCCATCCTCCTCTTCTTTTTGGTTTTAATAACCCCGGCTCATTTTGTGCTGACTATATACTCCTGGGGGCAGGGCCGCCCACTGGAGCATGTTAACCCAACTGGAGATACAACCTTAAAGAAAACTGGTTCTCCCTCCCTTAGAAGTCATCACTGTCAAAAGCTCCTCAGGTAGGGGCGGGGCATGTGAGCTGAAATGCAGACTAGAAAGTCTGTGCAGGTCTAGAAACAGTATTCTTTAAAAAACCAAAATAACAGCAAAACAAAACCTTACAGCACCCCCGCCCCCAGAACTAGTGATACAAAGAAACATAATCGAGCTAAATTCTAGAATATGATGTGTTTCAGAAGAAAAATTATGCTGTTCTTATTCTAGTCGCAGGTGGAATAAGGGACTGACCGTGAACCCAGGGAGGAGAAATCAGCAGGAGCAGCTGATTGACAGTTCAGACTCTTACCTGTGCTACCGTTTCATACGCTAAATATGCCAGGATTTCCATAGCTATGACATTGGGCTTTATCTCCATGCTGCCACAGTCCAGCCAATCTCGAAATTTGGAAGCTTTTTTGGCTATTAATTAAAACAAAAGTGAAAAGTTTTACTTTTTAATGTGCTTTAACCTTCACATGACTGTCAGAAATTGGAAATACTTCTCCTGAAACTGCATAGGAGAAATAACATTCATAGAAACAATGTTTGGGAAAGCTCTCTTAACATCTACATTTCTTTTAGTCTCAAGCAATCGCAGGTGGGAACCGTGGTTAAGAAGCAATACCCTGGTTGCAGGAGTCCCTCAGGCACTCGGATCTCCCGTCTCTCTAGGGCGGACGGCCCGGTACATCACACTCTCACCTCAGGCCTCTCGATGGTGGAGAACATGATTCACCTTTTCTCCACTGTACTGCTCACAGTGCTCTACAGTATGTTACCATTGGCCAGAGTCTTAGTTATTATCACAGAAAAGCTGCTTTCTCCATGCAACTTTATTCTTGGGGAAATAAAATTCTGGAAGAAAAAGCTGTTATGAAGGAATACAGAGAAAGAAACTGCATTTCCAATCCTCAAAATGTGCCTACTACTAAAAGAGGCTCAAAATTGTGAATTGAGAATGAAACAAACCATTGCTGGCCTGAGATAACCTGTACTTACGTCTTTGCTGACTACAGAGATGTTAAAATCCTTAGGCCTGACTCTCCAAACCAAACTTACTGCAGCCTGCCCTCATGGCCTCACAACCGAGCTGGCCTGGAGTCTAGTCCCTTGTATCCTGTCGTCTGCTCTCCTACGACTCCTCTTCAGTCACAGCAATCCTGACCAACTGGGCCAGGTAGACTTCTCACATCATTTATGGAAGTAACCATACATATTTCATGTATGCATCGATTTCTCAGACCAGAGTTCTTTGTTGTTGGCAGAGAATATGCCTGAAGTTCCTGAATACCTAATTGTATCATGTAGATATGGAACCAAGCAGTACACAGACCTTTCATTAAATACCTGTTATGGGCCTGGTGGTGGTGTCCTATGCCTTTAATCCCAGCACTCGGTAGGCAGAGGCAGGAGGATCTCTGAGATCGAGTCTAGCCTCGTCTACAGAGTGAATTTCAGGACATCCAAGGCTACACAGAGAAACTTTGTCTTGAAAAACTAAAACCAAACAACAAAACAAAACAAAACCCCCAAACAAACAAAACCCAACATTGCAATTGTCCCAGTGCTAAGCAGAGCTGAATTTAGCACAGAGCCTTCCACAGACATTACTAATTTATCTAGTAATTTAGAGGGAAAAGGTGGGTAGTAAAAATTGATCACATCTGTAAGGGAATCTTAAAAAAACCCACTGATTATCCTTTTGACTACTCTGGCCTTCCTGGTCTGTAAAAGTCTCAACTCAAAGCCTGCTGTTTGGCTCTAGTCAGAATCTCATGCATTCCACATACAGGAGTTTTCTTTAAATAAATCACAGAAGACACGAGGTCCTGCTATTGAAGCACATGTCCAAAGCTGTCAAATGTGGCAGAGTTATGATAATCCCCTTAAAGCTATCTCTCTACAGTAACCAGTCTTCACATACTCTGACAGGCAACATTCCATCTACTCAGCAAGCTGCAGTGGCTCACAGACGCTTGCTCAACATCTGTGGAATACTGCTGAAGTCCAAGTTAAGAGGCAGCTATCTGGAAGATCAGTGACGTGGACCTTATTCCCCCATTTCCTCGGACAGAACACAGAAGCACATGAGACTGCTCTAAGCAATTGATTTTTAAGATAAGCAAAGGATCATTATTAGTTTTCAGCAACATCTCCACCCTGAGTGAGAGAATTTTAGCAGTGTCTTTGTAAGACTCAGAATATAAAAATCTAAGTACCCACTGTATTCCCAGAAAATAAAATACCTGGTGCTAACATACTTACCATATCTATTTCTATAACAAATTCAAAAATGATCAAATATATATATATATTTAATAATATATATATTTAATATATATATAAATATATTTAATCATACACACACATATCTTGTTTGTTTGGTTTTTTGAGATGTGTGTGTGTGTGTGTGTGTGTGTGTGTGTGTGTGTGTATGTGTGTGCAATAGCCTTGGCTGCCCTGGAACTAACTTTGTAGATCAGGCTGGCCTCGAACTCAGAGATTCTCTTGCCTCTGCCTCCTGAGTGCTGGGATAAAAAGGCATGTGCTACCACCGTCCAACAAAAATATATTTGTTTAGTGCAATTCTGTGGTCCAGTCTTTATAACTTTTTAATATCTGTCTGTGTGGGGTATGTGAGTCATGTGTACATGTGCCACAGTGTGTATGTGATCCCAGGGCCTGCCATGAACAGATACTTAAGAAGGCACATGGCAGGTCCCGGTTCCCATGTCCTGGTAATTCATCAGAAGACTGTAAGGTGCTCAGTGCCCTGCCTGCGCAGGGCTGGTTTCTGGATGTGCTGGGATGAGCTTTCTCAGCTTTGGTATTTCTGTCATAGAAGACAGGTTCTTCCACCCAGGGCTCATAATGAAGCTCCCATGGATACTATATGAGCAAATATTTTTAATGCCAAAATCCTTTCTCCCTACAGAAAAGAAAATTATGCATAATATATTGCTTAATCTGTAATTTTATCAGAAGGAGAAAACATTAAATTTCATCTGCTACAGTTTTTTTGTGCTCAATACAGCGACAGAAAAGAAATAACAAAATCTAATTCCCAATGAGAGATGCGTGACCAGACTAAGGCCATCAGTTCAGTGTGCGGCAACACTCCACTTCTTCTTGTGAAGTCAGTTTAAAATATGACTCAAAAAATAGTTCAACTGCACTAAATGCTACTTTATGAGCTGGAGATTTATGCTTATAAAATACTTGAATGCCGTATTTAAACCCCAAAATTACCATACAAAACCCTCTCATTTGCTGAAATTGCCATGATCTGAAGTGTCATTTACTTAATGCTTCACAGATGTCTGATGCCAAGTTGTTAGTCAGATTGGAAAATACATTTTGTTAGGAAACAACATCTTCCCAACCATGTTTTCTTATATTTTACTGATGTGCATGGGGCAGCGCTGCTTGAAATGTGTCATCTATTTGCACCTCATGATCTGAAATGCTGCTCTCATTTTCTTTTTCCAAATCAAGCACTGGTTATCGTGACCACACAATTGCTTTTCATTTACAGACATCATCATTTCTGTAACTTCTCAGAGGAGGGTCATGAGCAACTTGGTCTTATTTGTAAAAGGACTTTTCATCGCACTTTCTCTCTGACCTTTCCCCAAGAACCTTAGTCACCACTGGGCTGTGGGGAGACAATCTAACCCACTGTTAGGGTCTTCAGCACTTTCGGGACTGCCGTCCAGTGACGGGAAGACACCGACTTCGCTGCTGTCACTCCTGTGGCTAGAGCACTGACTCACAGCTCTGGCCAGCACTAAGCGCATGCTACAGTAGGAGGTTAAGGACAAAATGAAACACACTACTGAGATGTTACTTTGTGGTAACATGAGTGTGCATAAAGGGGAGGTTGGGGTTTATAATTAATACTGGGAGCTTTTAAATGTCATGACTATTAATGTTCACTATGGACCAGTATGGTCAGCAATACTGTACTTCAGTAAACATGACTAAGAAACAAGAAACCGAAGTAAGAATAGTAAGAAAAAAGTAGCTGTTCTGATTAGAGGTCATATGAATAATTCCATGGCTGTCTGTAGAGGTCGTATGAATAATTCCATGGCTGTCTGTGTATGCACATGCTCTCAAATCTCCTAACATGATTGATTGTATAACAGTTGAACAGAGCAAAATCTTCAGGCTCCCCCAGGGCAGATGCTATTTCTGTAACAATTCTAAGGATGCATCATATATTGAAGACATCGGTTTCTAGAGAACAGAGAGCATGTCACAGTCTAGGGTATCTGTAACACAGTTCCTCCCTCATACACCCGTAAGTGAAGTTAAATGTGTACTCACAGAAACTTAGCTGTCGGCTTTCACAGAATTCTGCATATTGAGCTGAATCCATAGTTCGAGTCTGTCTTTCTGCTCTCTAATGGACAAAAAATAATAATAATAAATAATAATAATAACAAAACCAAGTTTTTAAAGAAAATAGACTCTTAGCATTTATTCCCAGAGTAGAAACTTAGGCTTCATTTACTATGCTTCACACCTTAATCTAAGAAAGCAGTTATGGATGGTGACAGACATGTACTATTTTGCATAACCAGGACAAGCGTTTGCAGCTGAACTGGGGCTGGAGCCATGCCTCCATGATAAAAAGTGTACTGCTCTTCCGGAGGACCTCAGTTTGGTTCCCAGCACACACATCTGGTAGCTCACAACCACCTGTAACTCCAGCTACCAAGGATCTGAGGCACTCTTCTGGTCTCCATTGGCATTGTATTCATGCACACGCACTTGTATGTACACACACATACACACACATACACACACGCACACACACAATTGAAAATAAAAGACAGATTACGAAGTAAAAAATAGCAGTTGTAAGTGTCTTTCTTTTGGAAATAAAGCTTACAGTCATTTCTGCTCCTTTGTTATTGAAGCTAAAACTCAAGGACTTGATTACTTAGCCAATACACAGCCCGTTTCTGTTTATCCCATCCTTTTAAAACAAAAGCAGACTTTGCAGGGAGGACAGAGCAGACATCAAAACCATAGGGACCGCTCCTTGTCCGTCTGCTTTACAGTTGTGATGTGGCAATGCTAAACCAGGAGTCAAGGCCTGAAATCCATAGATCCCCCTCAGAACACAGCACCAGAGTTAACAAAGTCAATCTTCTCCATTACAAAGAAAATAAGGAGAAAGGTAAACACAACACAACTCCTTTAATCTGAGTCTCTGGATGATTCACTGCTTGGGCTGGCTGCATTCGTGGCTTTTTTGATTCAGTCCAGCAAATGTTTGCTCCTACACTGTCTCACAGAGGTAGCATAATTATACTTCACCCATGGTTTGGTGGCAAAGGCTACGACCGCTTCCGCTTCCTTGGTAAGGGGAGCAGGTTGGGATGAGGCAGCCTGGTGCTTCTTGGAAGGGACGTCTGACCAGTAAAGGGAAAAAATTCCCTGAGATTTACATTTTTTTTCTGCAGTGGAAGGACTTTCTGCAAATGTTCTTTCTCATAGCTGTGGGTGCACTCAAGAATGATGTTTGTAATGGCCACATTACTTTTTTTTTTCTTGTCTGATTTGAGCTGAATAATCAGTACCCAGGTTTGTTACCGGATGTCCTGTTCAGCACAGAAAAGACAGAAGAGGTGGAGTGAGGAAAAAGTGACACCTAGGGGTGGGGTTCCTGGAGAGCGTTGTTCTTCTTGACTCCTTCCTTCTTCCCCTCTTCTCTTCACCTCCTGACTTCCAGCCTCCTTTCTTCCTTTCTTTCCTTCCTTTCTCTCCAACTAAATAGCCTCACAAACATGTGAACACAAATCCAGACTTCTCTTGATTATCTACCTGCTTGGCTCAAGTGTCACTTCTGAGCATACACAAGCAAGTATTATACACAGGCAGTATGCGTGCGCGCACGCGCGCGCACACACACACACACACACACACACACACACACACACACACACGCCTACAGGTGATTTAGTTCCTCATATCTATCTATTTATTTGTGTACAGCCAACAGCTTTGGGTGTTGGTCCTCAGGCATCTCCCCTCTTTCGTTTTGGACAGCATCCCTGGGACCCTCCTCACTCACACAGTCCAGGCTGGCCTGTTGCTCTCCCCCACCCTCCCACCCTCCCCTTGCTGGAATCACACGCTACCAGGCCCGGCGTTGTACTTGATTTGAACGAAGGTCCTCAGGCTTGGGTAGCAGCAGTCTACCAAGCGAGCCACCCCCTAGCCTGGCCTCTTGTTTTAACGTGGCTGATATGACTCAATAACTACTTGCTTATGGAAAATCAAAAGCAAACTAGTGAGAGTGTTTAGGTTATGAACAAGGCCAGTGGGTTACTGATGTGTTCATTTAAGAAATCCCCGCCTGGTGGCGTATACCTTTAATCCCAGCACTGGGGAGGCAGAGGAAGGCGGATCTCTGTGAGTTTGAGGCCAGCCTGGTGAACAGAGTGAGTTCTAGGACAGCCAGGGCTGTTACACAGGGAAACCCTGTCTCAAAAAACAGAATCTCCACACTGCTAACCCTGCATCATTCTTATGTACTTATGTAGATGTGTGCATGCGTGTTTGTATGATTATAGTGAGAACTCAGGGGTGTGTGCGTGTACGCACACGTGCCGCACGATTATAATGAGAACCTCTAGGTCTGAATATCTAGATCCTAGAAAAATACCTGACACATAGTAAATAAGCAATGAACCAACGCCACCATTTTATTCACCAGGGCAGGTAACACAGCCAGCTCTCAGTACTATGACTCCCACACTATGTGCTGCCCTGAAAGCAGCCACCACATTCCCCAACACAGGACTAGACCGAAAGCACTCAGACAAAGACACACTGTCCTAAAGGAGCTCCTAATACCTTCCTTCTGCTGAGTTGGGCAATCAAGATTTGGCTTCCTTAGTACACATGCTAAGATAGTTGGTGTGTCTGCAATTAGGAGTTTTAGCCTTTTAAAGTGAGGAGAACTTACCCTGAGAGAATAAGGTTGCCAGGTTGGCCAGCTTTAATTAAATGAAGTGTGTGGCAGTTGGGAGACTTTGTCCTGCAAAGCCTATCATCTGAGGGCATTTTAAAGAGACTTGCGACACGTGAAGGACTTGACGTTATGACAGCTAGCCCCTCTGCTTTCCGGCACCCCGGACACCCTCGCCAGTGCCTCTTCCTTCTGGGCTGTTCCTCTCAGTTCTTTTCAGTTCCTTTAGCACAGAAGCAGCACCCTTTGATCTGAGCAGCATCAGGAAGCTGGCTCTAGGGCACTCACAGGAAGAAGCCATTTACCCTGTGCCTAGCACACAGGAAACACTCAGTGCAGGGTGGCTGATTGCAGTAAAGATTTATTGGCATGGTGTGTTAGAGCTACTGGCAGCTTAAAGTGCATCCTTTTCAAGCCTCTTCATTTTAAAGATAAGGAAACTGAGGTTAGAAGAGATGCCATTTGCCTGAAGCCTGTGTATTTATATTACAAAAGCTTATTCTAGACGATACTACATTTTTTTACTCTAATGTCCTTGTGGGATGATCTATGACCAGGAATTTTAAGAATTATGACCAAATTGTATGAATTCCAGTCAGAGTAAGAAGACTTGAGAATGAAGTTCTACTTAAAAGAATCAAGAGACTGTCTATATATTAAATAACCATGGCTCCTGTCTTCCGTGGTGCCGCAATTTCACTCCCTGCCGCTTCCCTACGGACGCCAGTACATTCTACCGTGAACACTAACGGGCCTTTTCTAACCGGGGTACCGAATACCGCCTGGGAAAAGAACTCCCCAGCTTTGTATACTGACGTGGCTGAATGACAATGTCTTCTCTACACAGAAAACACAACCTCTGAGATAAAAAGTGAAGTCAAGAGAGTCACAGCAGAGAGTCACAGCTGGAAGTGAGGTCAGGCTCCTAAGAGCCGGCCCAGGCTCACAGGTGTTCCAGAAAGGGGCCTGTGTGCACTGAGAGAACAATGGCCGGAAGTGTGCTCCCTTCATGTTCTGGCTTCTTCTGAACCAAACGTCAAACTGCAAGCTTAATTTGAAAAGTGTCTCTCTAAAAGGGAGTTCTCAAGTTTAACTGATTATTCAATATGATCATGAAAGTGGAATTTAAAAAAAGCCTGTTTTGCCTGGGTATGCTCCCACATGCCTGTGATCCCAGTGCTTGTGAGGCTGAGGCAGGAGGATCACAAATTTGAGTAGTGTAAGATCCCTCTCTCAAAAAAACTAAGTAAGCAACTACCCAGTCCTCACCAGAGCAAAGCAAACCAAACCTTCATGTTTTTAGAATATTAGAGGCACAAATCCCCGAAGTGAGCATCGATGAACAATGGTCGCTGGCTCGGATTACCAGTTCTCCACATGGGCATGCTCATGTTACACAATGCTCTTTTTAGCTCAGATAGCCACAAGAGCACAAGGCCATCTGCAGATGACTCAAGCTCTGTATCCTCAAGGCCAGTTCCACAAATGGCCCAATTTCCTTGGGTATCAAACAACATTCAGATCTCCAGCATTCAGAAAAATGTACACCATACTTTTCCTCCAATTAAAGCTTGTGGTATTATTATATAACAAAATAAGAGCCTATTTGGAAAGCACTGTTTTTCAAGTTACTATTGCTAGAGTCTTCTAAGCATCTGATTTTACACACACACACACACACACACACACACATACACACACACACACACACACACACAATGTATGTATATGGTAATAGGGAATGGTTATGTTAGTAGCCACCCATTTCACTACCAAGAAGTTTCAGCCCATCCTGTTTATCGTAATCTGAAAGGCAGATTCCCATGCCAGATGGGGTCATTCTCTGGATCCTACCTAAGTGCAAAGAGGAAAGCAAGTGTCTGCATCCCAGCGGTACTATGTAGAACTTGGTTGTGGTTTTGTTCCCCCAAGTATCTTGAACATCACGGACCCTCAGTACTTCAGGCCAGGTTGCCTTTGAAGAGCACCTTTAGCAGCAACAGTCGCTGCTTGCCACAGCCTAAGCATCTGGGTGACTTATGTGGCACACAGCTCTATTCATGTTCTCCATGTGCTTTCACCGAAGCATGCTCAAAGGTTACAGAAGCTATGTGCTGTCAGATCTCCTGGAAGCTTCTCAACACACATGACATCTATTTTTCTTGAATAACTCAGAATCACAGAACATAACTTTCAAACACAAATAAAAGTTTATCTGTTGTTGTTTCTTTCTCAAAAACATACATTTCTAAAAAACTCTTATATTGATTACTCTTAGAACCTTCACAACTGAAAGTGAAGCCCCTTCTGAATGGAAAAGTATCATCTTCATGGTAATGCCCCTTACACTGGATCAGAACCAGAAGACGAACTTGAAAACCCCAACTGGAGTGGCTGGTGGTAGTACTGAACACGACAAC